AGATCGGTAAAAAAGATCTGCATTATCAATAATTTTTCAGAAAAACAAATTTTGCGGCACTCAGTGCCGCGGCGCGCCCAGTTATAGAGTTAAAAAAGTATTGTTTCTGTCGCGCGCATGATTTTGCTAAAATCCTGAATGCTCAAGAATGTTATATCTGATAAAATAATTCAAACATTACGTCCAAAATATAGATGTAAGATGTCTTAAAGATGTCTTATGTCTGCATTTTGGACGTAATGTCTGAAATATTTTATCATATATATAACCGTCTTGAGCGTTTAGATTTTGGCAAAATCGCGCGCAATGGAATATTTTGAAACACTCAATTTAAATGTATAAATAAAACTGGACGAAAATTAATCGGCTAATATATGCTCTGGCAGTTTGTTACCAAATTGTCAACTTTCTTATATTAATAACTATAATCATATATAAATTAATAACTATAAATAACTATGTAAAGTTTATATTAATAACTATAATCATCTTTCTTCGAAACTTGTCGACGGTAAGTTATGTCGATGCAGTAAAGCTTCTTTATTTGTACGATTTTGCTCATCATGCCTAATATCTTGGACAAAACTAATCTCATTAGGAATAAAGGTACCTGAAAAAGAAAAATATACATAAATTGTTAACAATAATTACACAAAGATATCTATAATTTAATAATAAACGTGACTTACGTTTATTTTTAGCACATTTACCAAAACTATTTATGAGAAATTGTTTATCTTGAGATTGGAGAAGGAGCATATTAGAAAAAATTTGTGATATTTCCTTACTCGCTTCTGCTTTCGCTCTTAAACAATACACTGCAATACTTTTAATAAAAATACTTAATAAATATCTAACATAAATACATTATATTTAGATTCATAATTATAAATCTACCTCATGCCAACCAATATTACAGCACTGGTTACTGATGACGCAAGTTCCGAAATAACTCTCCAGAATGTGCTATCTCTTTTCAATGATAACATCCCGTCGACAATAAAATCCCAAGTATGAAGATGATTTCTAAATGGTCCGCATTCATCACTTTTCACATTTGTGATAATATATCCTATCGTGAATAATATTACAATAATACTGAGAAATGTGAGAGCTAAGAATAATGTTTGCGTTTGTGCCGCTCGCCAAGACTGCAATGGTCTCTGGTAATATCTTTTCAGTTCATATCTCTTCACGTAAAACGTAAAAATTAGTTTTATCATGATCATAATAGATATTAACGGATTAAAATAAAATCCCATCCAAAAGAGCATCTGATTGTAAATGAGATTTAATGTACTGCGAGCGATATCGAATTCCGGTTTGCCGATTTTTGTTGAATATCTTTTGTGCAGCACAGAACGTGTAAAATGCAAAAATGCCCCAAATAGCGAAGCAATGAAATCCAGTACAATAAGCCGATAAATCTCTTCTCCTAAGTGTGTTTGCCAACAATATGATGTACTGTGGATTATCCAGAAGACGAATAAAGTCCCGATTATTATCGCAGCAACTATGTAATTTCTAACAATTGTTACATAAAGTTCCGTACGTTTGTTGTTGTAGCGTTCTAGCGATGTCTAAAAATATTAATATTATAATCAATTATTTTTACAACAGAAAATGCAGACTACTTACTAGATAGGAGATAATCGCTGGAAAAATATGAATAATGGCGGTAATGACTATTGGCACAATCATAATTGAAATAGTTACAGGCGCTTCTATGTTGTAATGACTTAACAGCATCCAAACGAGTGCACCAGCACCAAAAATCATAAATATAACAATAGATGTCACAGCAAATTGTATTATAATTAATAGAAATTTAGTACACCAATGCAAACGCTTATGCTGCTTCGTTTCTGCTAATAGTTCTTCTAGTTCTTTATAAATTGATGCTGATTGCAAAAAGGCAGTTTTTGATGAAGATATACTGAAGTCCCATCCACAAAATATTTTGCTGCTATATAAATTGTGTACTTTTCCGCATGTTTCGACATAAGACTTTCTATAAGAGGATATGACTCTGAAAAAATTATTATTACATTCAATTAAATTATAAATTAAATAATTTTTAATCTTATTAATTTTATCACACATACTTGAGAGAGAGTATAACAAATGTAATTATATAACAAAAAAGTAGCGTTAGGAAATAAGCAAATGGAATGCTATATTTGGTTCCAAATGATACATCTACTGTGCCGTTGGAATAAAAACCATAATACATTACTGTGCGAGATAAAAAGCCCTGCAAACCAAAATATTGTGATATGTGCGCTATATTATTTAGAACATGCTGCTTATAATAAAATAATGATTAGATTTACACTGCCTGTTAAAAAATCCAGTACTTTAATATCATTTGATATATATACTTGATCCAGTGATTGCGGAATCACAATAAAAGATACACTGCAAATATAAAATATTCATCAAAATCTCGTTTTAATTACTTCATTTAATATAGTAATATATATAAAGCACTTTGTGTTCGCCTATCAAATAAATGAAAATTATGAACATTTTTAAAACTCTTTTAAATAATTTTAAATTGGTTCAAATTTTTATATCAAAATGCACTTATAAATATAACTTTACAAAAAAAATGAAATAAAATGTATTTATACCTCAAAATACAGGAAATTGTATTAAGAAAAAGTAACCATCTCAAGAATTTGAAATATGTTGCTATACCACTTCCATGGTGGCTTTCAATGGTTTTTATTGTTCGATGCCATAATTTCATTGTTGACAAGAAGTCCTGCATTGTTACCCAAATCTATATAAAAAAAATCCAAGTTTTCTCTTATTTTTTTATACATAATATAAAGATAAGAGCTCCAACAAAAATTAACATTACCTTTACAAACTTTAAACTAACATTATATTTAAACAATTTCCAACAACTAATTGATCTCTTTGTTGTCTTTTGGTTAACAGTTTCCAGTAGCTGTGACTTAACAGATTGTTTCACAGCAAGGCACTGTGGTATTGTTCTCACTGTTTCCATTCTAAATTGTTCCAGCTTGGGATCATCATGCATAAACTTCTCGCTTGATTGCAAGTGACTGGCAATAGCATTAGCACATTCTTCATTAGATAAATGAGAAACATTGCGCATTCTCAAAGTAGCATATGGAATAATAGAATTTAGACCATCTGGCATTCCTTCACATTTTTCTAGAAATATGTTTTATTTTATATATACATAGAAATTTTATAAAAATTTTTATCATCAGACATTCAAAAGCTACACTTACTCCCTAATTCCATTGGCAGTAATTCCATTTGAATAGATTCACAAAGTTCTGCTTCTTGAATTTCAGAAGGCATTCTGATAAAATCAACTGATATTTAATTCTAAATTATGTCCTAAAAAGAAAATCATCTTACAAATGCTTAGTATACAATTAAAAATATTTCTAAACTATAAACTCACTTTTTATCAAAATATTCCTTCATTAAAAAAACATTGGCTAACAATTATTTTATTCACACAGTGAAAGAGAATTCACAAGTAAAAAAGATAAATATTAACTATATGTATCTTTACATTACAATCTCTGGAGAATGATTTGGTATAGATATGCGATTAGATAAAATATATTTTTTTTATTATAGGCCTAAAGTGGGAAGGAAATTTACATGATATAAAGATGTTTAATTCTTCTGAAATATATAGTATATACTTAAAACTCTTATTACCATAAAATATAATCATATATTATACCATAAAACTCAATTCCAAATATCGTATATAAAATTATATATATATATATATAAATAATTATACACTAAATATTTAATCGTGTAATTTCATCATTTGATATTCTTTTAATCAATGGCATTCCAATTACACGTGAATAAAATTTCAATATTACCTGCAATTGGATTCGCGACTTATTCACGCTCATAATTATTTTAAACTTAAATCCACAATTATTTTCGAAAAAATTCTTTTGAAAAAAATAGCGTTAAAACTACAATAATTTCACAAATAAATGCCTTAACCATTTCTAACCTAATTCTTGTTAAAATGACGAAATTTGCACATTAATCTTCGAAATACAGTTCTATTGTTAAAAATATACCTTCCAGATGCGCAAACAAATTAAATCGAATTTTTTTTTCAACAGATTACACAGAATTTTCTGTCAAATCTGTCCGCGCGAGGTAGCGTTCAATCAATTTTCATTCCTGTAAATAGAGATATACGTTCGAATCTTTTCGCGCCTTACGACAGTTACGACATGCATTATCGGATTTCGTACGATCAGATTTGCTGGTAGTCGTAATTTTTAGGCACGTCTCGAAAGTACTAATTTGCAACGGCAGTTATTTTCAGAAGGAAAAATTAAGATGCGAGAAAATCTCTTTGAAAGAAATTTGGAGTACCGTGATTAAAAAAAGATCAATGACTTACCTAACCGCTGGAATCTGTAGCATTCGAAAATAATGCATTAAGAAATCGGACGTTAATAGGCGCGTTCAGATTCCCACGTGTTCCCCAGGTATCGTGTTATCTTTCTTTAACTTTCGGTGACCAATAAGGATAAAATGATACCTGGGTGACACTCGGACTAAATCTGAATACAACCAATCTCGGATTTCACTTAAACGGGCGCCATATTGAAGAAATGATGATTTCCGGTTAATGTTGTAACCGTAACCGGAAATCATCTTGTACTTCATAATGGCGTATGTTTAAATTACTTAAAAATACATGCGATTAAAAATTATTTGATTTACTTTAAATGAAAAAATAAGCACGATTTTTTCAAATTTCTCTCGTCATTAAAATGCAAAATATTACAGCTTAAAAATCTATTTAAATCAAGAAATTATAAAGTAATAATCGCACTGTTTCTGTTCTTATTGAAACTGTAACAATCACAATTATACATAAGGAATGCATATGAATGATTTTCAAATTATTTTATTTTAACATGACCTCGAGAACATTCTCGGTTTTTTCAAGGATTGAAGAAATAAGATTAAGTAATAAATCGTAGCTTTATTACCATTATTATTACGAAAGACTTAGATTAAATAAAAAATATTTTCAACATTATCCTTGCATTGTTGCGCTTCAGGTTATCCTGAATAGTCCCATACGAAAAATCTAAGACATCAAATGCATTTTGTTTTTCGCTGCTCTGTAACACGCGTGGAATCCAATGTAGTGTATTTTCATTAACACATTCTATTGTTAGTGCACTATAATACTATTTTCTTTTGTAGCATCAAGTATAGTAGAGTATCCATATTAGGGTTTATATTATGTAAACTGTGTACAATAAGTTTTATAATTTAGAATCAACATGTAACTTTCAGTCAGTGCACTGTATGATTGATATTTTTTTCCTTCTAATCTCATAGAAAACCTGAAACAATTTCATGTATTTATATATATCATAAAAATGGCATGTTTTTATGATATGTTTTTATGATATTTTTAATAAATGCCTGTGTTCTTGTGTTCTATATTTTGAAAATAAGCTATAAATGAGGTCTTAAAATAAAATAATTTTATTTCATCAATAATAATTAATATTAAAGCATTAACTTTTATTATTTTCAAGATAAATCAATTTATACACTACTTACATTTTTATCATGATGAATAAGTACATTGCAGTAGTACTTCACCACATGTTGTAATCAGTATCATCCTGATCGAAGGTTATGAAAAATCCGACTAGAGTTGAATACACAACAATATTACCCGCTAATGTCAGGTAGCAAGCACCCCATTCTATCTGTAAAGACAAATAACCTACATGTTCTAACTAATCAACAGATTTAAAGCTAATTTATTATAGCAATCATATTTTTATTTTCTTCATCTACAATGTGAGTTTATTTTATTAAAAACCTCAAAAGTTTTGTCTATTGTTCTAGATTTAAAAAAAAAAACTTAAGTTTTTCAACATCCCTATTATGCCCCATTGCCAAATAGTTTTTAATTCAAATGTTAACTTTTATTTAATAAAAATTGAAAATTGAACAAAAATGAAGAGAAAAGTTTTGTTTATGTCAAAAAATGATTCAGATTGCAGAGAGGATTAAAATATTCTATAAAAAAGTGTATAACTTACCACTGGCTGGTCTGCCGGAGATCGCGCCAATACTATTGGAAGAGCAAAGGACGATACTACGAATCCCATTGTAATAAATATTGCAAACTCTAAACAAGGATTACTATTGCTTCCTGAATCATCTGTGTAGCGACGTGCTATTATAGTTGGAATAGGTGCCAATATATAGAACAGTACAACAAAAAATGGCCACCATACTCTAAAAATTGTGCTTGTGTTATAACGTTTATAATACTAGAATTGGATAAAACTGATTAGTTTCATAAAGTTACTCACTTATATATCGGTAATGCACAGCCAAGAATGACAAATGTCATTCCAATGGAACCAGCAAACGCTAGCAGTACTAATCTGTAATTATATATTTCCATGTTGTCATTGTACTAAAAAAACTGGCTTAATTAATTTTGTGAATAACAGAGAAGCATACTTCATGCGAATTTTAAGAGAAAAAAATGGATGCTTTACAGCAAGAAATATAGACGACATAGATTGTGTTTCACTTAATGCTCGTAACGCTCGCGAGCATTGTTTGTTCTTGTTTAACAATTGATAAACTACATAGATGAAATGATTCCACGAGCGTTGTGAGCGTTAAATGGAACGCAGCCATAGTGAATCATTACAACTTTGTTTGCCAATAATAAATAAAAATAAAATAATCGCTGTATTATACTGTGCCTCTTACTGGAAAGCATAAAGTATCTTATGCCAATTATTTGTTCGCAAAGGTACTTACGCTGTTTCAAGGAAGTGTCACAAAGTAAAGAACGCCATGAAATAAGAAAAATACAAAATTAATCTATTGCGTTTAACAGTATTATAAGTACTATGACTGTTGTCCTTAGGAGACATAGTTGACAAATGTCGCTATCATTGTTATTCATTAATAAATGTCAAGGATAGAACATTTGTTGACTGCCTCCTAAAAGAATAACAGTCTACATTTTTACGAGTTTGATAATGCATCTTTGATTGTCTAGTCTTAAATCTATTTGTAGCAATAAGTTTATATAAAATTTTTGCGCAACAACAGATGAAGGATCGCAATGTTTTAAATTGTAAATCCTAAAAGTTGCAACCAATGCATTGCGATATCATAAAAACGAAACTGTTCTTGATTGTAATTTTGTTTTTACGAAGTTAAAAAAAAGAAAATCGAAGGGAGATGCGACGTGAAGATCGCACATTGCTCTTAAATCAAGTTACAAAACTTAATTAAGTGAGGATTGTGCGCGTAGCCAAACGTCAAACGACGATGACAACAGTGGTGCGAAGAGGTTATGTTTTGACAGCCAATTTTCACGGTTTTAGCGCGAGGTCCCTACGGCGATGATATTTCTCGAGGATTCATGCCACGGGAAACCGCATACGCGTGAAATGATCAGAAATAACCTTTAATCCCGGCCATTGCGAGTCGATTTGACAAGTGTGTATATTTATCGAACTCTCACTAGTCTCACTCCGTAGACCGCGAATTGCGCGTGACGTAAATTGATACTAAAGTACATCATTGGAGGAGACAGCAGGTTTATAGTCCAGCGAAGGTGATTGGTTGTGGAGTTGGACATGTATTAAGGCTCGTCTACATAGAAATCGTAGATCGTGGGATTTTAAGTCGGATTTTAAGTAGGAAATTGATCAATCACAATCTAAATGAAGAAAATATTTGACTAGGATTGGTCAATTATTTATAATTTGAAATCTTACGACTGTCTACGACTTTTATAGCAAAAACTTTCTTTCCAAGGAAGATTTTACTCTTTATACTATAGTATACGTAACGTGTACTATATATTTCGAGTAAAATTTTCTTCGGAGACACCGACGAGATACTATTAAAGACTGTCAATCCCAGACAAATTTTCGGCAGTATAAAAAGGGCCCCAAAGGCTTGGAGGTAATTGAAAAACGCTGATATTATTGACAATTGATATAAATTTGCTATTATTAACATAAACATTTGGTTCATACATTATTAAATTCATGATTTGTTATTACATAAATGTTCCATAATTAAATATGTATACTTGTAAAGCTATAATATTCTATATATTGCAGAAAAATTCTAATTTTTTTCTCTACAGTTATCATCTTTATTGATAATCAAACTTTGATGATAGTACTAAAATCACAATTTTAAAGAAACATCGAGTATTATTGATTTCTAAATGTATAAATATGTACACTAAACTAATAAATTATAAAATTAGTATATTTAGTAATATTTTAGTAATATTTTCAGTTTTTAACTCTTAATTACTTCAATATTCACAAGAAAGGCCAACTCCCATAAGGATGTCGGTCTTTAATAGTATCTCGTCGGTGTCGGAGAGAAAGTTTTGGAACGTAGACAAGCCTTTAAAAAATAATATAATAAATATAAAGGCTAGAGTACAGATCTTTGCATAAAACACAAGAAAACCAATCAGAATCTTTTATTTCTTGAAAAGGAAATGAAGAACTTTGATGATTAGCTAATTATACGTTAAGGTACATTTTCATGAGTCGCTCAAACCGGACGTTTCAGCGAAAAAAAAATCACGTGATCAAAATTGACGCTTGACATTCGTCAATTTAGACCACGCGACTGTTTTTGTCGTCGAAATATTCAGTTTTCAGCAACTCGCGCGATTTTTTTTTTTAGCAAAGGTGTGCCGCATTTTATCGATAAAACAACGATTCCGTCGAAGGCCAATAGTTGTTTTTAGGCCCAGTTTCACAACTCACAGTTGAGTTTTAACTGAAGTTCAACTTATTCATTGTCTCTTTCCAATTCTTGAATGAGATAAGAGACTAGCTGAACTTCAGTTAAGAGTTAATCGTGAGTTGTGGAACTCGATCTTAGCAGAAAAGGCAGCTTTGCAACTGTTGTAAAATTCATTAATATGAGCCTTATTTTTAGTTTCTTACTAGATCTAAATATATAAGCCAATCATATTCACAAATTTTACAACAGTTGCAAAGTTGCTTTCTCTGCTGAACGCAGCCATTGGCTACCGTGTTTATTTTGACGTGTCGCCGCTCACGCGGCGATCCTGATTTCGTGAAATATGGACCCGCCTTTACCCTATGATTTGGCAACGGGTAGAAGCGAGTCATCACAGACGGTTTCCTCTCATTTGTGTCCGTGACTTCGTTGCTACACTCATTGCGTGTACCGAAAAGAGAGATTGTGCATCGTGCGGATTCCTTTTTTTGCGCGGACAACACCGAAGGTTGGACGATGAGTGATCCAAAGAGGTGAGGAAATTCGTGACGGGTTCGACCTAAGTCGATCGACGGCGATTCCATACCGATTGCTCGCGTTCGTCGGCGGAGCGATGTGTGTGTCGCGGAGCGCGACAGCTAAGGCGGCACTCAATTTCACAATGTCATCATGTCGACAGAGCGACGCTTTGTTTTTCGCAAAGGCCCGCGCTCGTCGTGGTGGCCGATGACGTCGTAGATCACGCGCCTCCTCGTCCTCGCGGCACCTCGGCTCGCCTGGGGGTGCTCCCGCGGACCGCGAATCGGGACTTAAAAATTTTCCGGTATATCGCTCGATCATGGCTGTGCACGAACCAAACATGACAAAAGGGAAGAAGATGCTCGATTCTTCGCGACGCCGAGTCAGCTGGCCATCCATACGGATGCGAAAGTTACGAGCGTGAACGCGAATGTTCCCGCTACAATTTTACGTTCGCTTTCCGTACCTGAAATTTAAAAATATGTTAATTTCGTGTACTTGGCTATAATATCACCTTTTGAAATTATGTTAAGGAATTATGTTGCAAGGATTTTAGTAGATAACAAATAAAATGCATTGTAGAATATATATATATATATATGTACATATTTATATATGTGGTATGTCATTAATTAATTTTATTATTTTTCTCACTTCAGAATATAAGGACATGTTTATTTCATCATGAAGACTTTGTAGTAAATTAATAAGAAAAATAATTTTAAGATTTTTGTAGGATATAGAATAGCATTTACAGTTATTTTCTTCAAGAAAAAAATGTTAAAAAACTGTCATCCTTTATTTTTTAATTTATTTGTTAAATTAAAAAAATTGGTTTCTTTTTTTAAATTATAGTTGTCTTACTCATCTAAAAAATTGTATAGCTGTACATTCTCATTAATGATAACATTTTTATTTCTAATTTTTGTTACATAAATTTATTTGTGTTCACAATATAAAATATTAAATAAAGGAGTATCATATAAGAATTATTATATTTGACATATAATTTGATATATAATTAATATTATATTTCAGTGGTGAAGATTTGGCGACAGCTATCCTTCGTAAGAAGGACAGGCCAAACAGACTGTTGGTTGATGAAGCAATTGCCGATGATAATTCCGTGGTTGCGCTTTCTCAAGCAAAAATGGATGAGTTGCAATTGTTTCGCGGAGATACCGTGTTGCTGAAAGGGAAAAGGCGTAAGGAAACAGTGTGCATCGTACTTTCAGATGACACCTGTCCGGATGAGAAAATCCGTATGAACCGCGTTGTTAGAAATAACTTACGTGTACGTCTAAGCGACGTTGTTTCCGTACAAGCATGTCCAGAAGTCAAATACGGAAAACGTATTCATGTGCTGCCAATGGATGATACTGTCGATGGTCTTGCTGGGTAAATTTAACGTTATGTCTAAGGTTTAGACGTAAATGAAATATAGATCCAAAGTAGATTTCATTCTATTATTTTCTTTATAACATAACCTTCAACTTTTTAATTGATCTTACAAAATTGAGGGTGTATGTACATGGGGATTGAACTTGGAATCTGCAAATTATAGGCTTATTCTTTTTAGCTGAACTTTTGCACCAGTTCATCTTCCTTTTCTCTTTAGAAGGAAAGAAAGATGAATTGCCAAAAAGAATAAGCCTTTTGAATCGGTCACTTTCACAAAACCAAACATCATCCCAATAAAATTGAGATATATATATATAATAAGTTACAAGATTAATATCAGTAACTCTAAAATGAGACTTAAGAAAAGTACTGAAAATATCTAATTGCAGCAATACCATGAGTTGATAATGTCTTTTTGAAATTAATTTTGTGCATTTTACTTTTAATTACTTTTATGCTGGTATAAATATATAAATTATTTTTTGATTTTTGTAGAAATCTATTTGAAGTCTATTTAAAACCATATTTCCTGGAAGCGTACCGTCCTATTCACAAAGATGATAATTTTATTGTACGAGGTGGCATGCGAGCTGTGGAGTTCAAAGTTGTAGAAACTGATCCGGGGCCATTTTGCATTGTGGCGCCTGATACAGTGATACATTGTGAAGGTGATCCGATAAAACGAGAGGTCAGAAAAATACGTTATATATTTTTAGTATTTTCAATACCGGCCTAGATAACAAAGAGCATTTATTTACAGGAGGAAGAAGAAGCATTAAATGCTGTAGGTTACGACGATATCGGTGGCGTCCGTAAACAGTTGGCACAAATTAAGGAAATGGTAGAGTTACCTCTGCGACATCCATCTCTGTTTAAAGCCATTGGCGTTAAGCCACCACGTGGTATATTGTTATATGGACCACCAGGTACAGGAAAAACTCTCATTGCACGTGCTGTGGCAAACGAGACCGGAGCATTCTTCTTTCTCATAAACGGTATGCAATCTGAATACAAGCAAAATAGTATTTAATTATAGGAATAAAAATGCATAACGTGAATTAGGAATATGAGGCAATATAAGATATTTAAAGACTTCCCTCTTTCTATACAGGTCCTGAAATTATGAGCAAACTGGCTGGTGAATCTGAAAGCAACTTGCGGAAGGCGTTCGAAGAAGCCGAGAAAAATTCTCCGGCTATTATATTTATTGATGAACTTGATGCGATCGCGCCGAAACGTGAAAAGGTTCACCAAGTTTCCGCCAAGTCAAATTTAATGTCTTTTATAAATCGCATTTTGAAATAAAAATTATTTTTTTTTTACATAGACGCATGGCGAAGTCGAAAGGCGTATTGTGTCTCAATTGTTGACACTGATGGACGGTATGAAGCAAAGCTCCCATGTGATTGTAATGGCAGCTACCAATCGACCGAACAGCATCGACGGGGCACTGCGCCGGTTTGGACGTTTCGATAGAGAGATTGATATTGGTATACCGGATGCTACTGGTCGATTGGAAATTTTGAGAATTCACACGAAGAATATGAAGCTTGCTGATGATGTTGATTTAGAAGAGGTGCCATTTATTTTTACGTCACTTCTAATAGATCAAAATAGTTACATTTTATAATTGTAAAGTAATATTTTTAAAAATATCACTAGATTGCAGCAGAAACTCATGGACACGTTGGTGCCGATTTGGCGTCTTTATGTTCCGAAGCGGCTCTTCAACAAATTCGTGAAAAAATGGATCT